ATTTTCTCACACTGACTCCCTAGGAGCTGGACTAAACATTACTCATGCTGTTCCCTTCCAGCAAAGTCCTTAACCCAAAACCCAACGCACAAGTCAAAAGCATTGTCTGCGTTAAAGTAGACACAAATACTTGGCCAATGCATCTTAACGCTAATTTTAGCACTACTGTTGTGCTAATAACCTCAATACTCAAGGGGGTTTGTCAAACGCCAAAGTACCATCAAATGTTGCAAGAAAAAGGATGTATAAGTCAGTAAATTTGAGGGTGCACTTACTTTTTACAGCTTCCTTACTCTGTCTTGTTAGTTTAGTCAGATTGTATTTGTCTATAATTGTGACTTGGATGATGATCAGACCACATTTTATGAGTAATCAGTGGGAATCTATTTAATTCCAAAGGGTTCACAAACTTTTGCTTGCAACTGTAGACATGTCAACTGCTCACCACGATTCCCTTCAAAATGCTACTCCACAATAAAAGTAGCTGATCTGAAAGATACAACTGACTGTATATTCTTAAAAACAGAGGTTTCAAAAGGTTCCAAAATGGTTTTTCGCAACTATGGCATGGAAGTACATTTTTGGGTTTCCCAAAAGAACCTTTCAGTGAACAGTTCTTAAAAGAACCACTTTTCTTAGCATGAAGAACATTTGCATAATCTAAATAACCTTTTTCCACTATAAAGAACCTTTTGTTGAATGGAAAGATTCCATGGATGTTCAAGGTTCTACATGGAACCATAGATGCCAATAAAGAACCTTTATTTTTTTTTAAATGGCCAACTGCCAGTCCACATAGGTTACTAACATGAAGCCATGATTTAGCTATGTGTGTTCAAAGACATTCAGAGTAAGTAGGAGGCAAAGACATTTCAGACTCTATATATAGTATTCAAAGGATCTGGAAAGACCAGCTGGAACGCAAACAACGACATCAGAGCATAGACATTCTATAGCAATCATATATTACCAAATACGGATGTATAGTTCAATAGACCAAAATGACTAATAGCTTTATCTCCTGGTCGGTACAAAGGCAGTCTAGGGTATTTGCAGCTGCAGCTCCATAGGTTGAGTAGGAAGTTTTTCTTACACATAGTGATCATATTTCTCATTGCCAACGTAAACAAGCATTTCAGGGGCCCAAGTTAAAGCTGATGTGTATATTTTTCTAAAGAACACTTTCTCCTATTAGAATAAAGTTTAGCGAATGATTTATTGACTCATTCATAACACAAGAAACCTACAGACAAGATAACTAAATAATTAACGTGAACTGATTCAAAAGATTTGAGTCACTGAACAAAGTTGATTGAATCAATTATTGACTCACTCAACACAAGAAACCTGCAGAAAAGGTAACCAAGCGAATGAACAAATCTTATTAATGAACTGATTCAAAAGATTCAACTCACTGAATGGCGAGTGAATGGTTTGAGTCATTCATAACATGCGCAAAAAAAAAACAGCTGAGAAGGTAATTCAACAAATCAATCAACAAATCTTATTAGTGAACTGATTCAAACGATTCAACTCACTGAAATGCAAAAACCTACAGAAAAGGTCACTAAAATGAATATATCTTTTCATAACACAAGAAACCTACAGACAAGATAACTAAATAATTAACGTGAACTGATTCAAAAGATTTGAGTCACTGAACAAAGTTGACTGAATTCATCATTGACTCACTCAACACAAGAAACCTGCAGAAAAGGTAACCAAGCGAATCAATGAACAAATCGTATTAACGAACTGATTCAAAAGATTTAACTCACTGAATGGTGAGCGAATGGTTTGAGTCATTCATAACATGCACACAAAAAAAACTGAGGAGAAGGTAATTCAACAAATCTTTTTGGTTAATTGATTCAAAATATTTGAGTCACTGAACAAAGGCTCATTTCAAGAAGAAACCTGAAGAAAAAAAGTTGCTAAACAAATCAATGAAGCGTAACTAAATGAATAAACAAACAAATCTTTTTGTTGAACTGACTGAAGATTTGAGACACTGAATAAAGCTCAGTGATTGATTCAATGCCTCACTGAGATGAATCAAAATCTCCACCACGAGTCATTATTTTTGCAATTCCCATGACACCAATTGTACACAGGAATGAAACATTTCACCTTTAAGAAACGTGTCAGACTACACAATAAAGCCACATCTGACATCTTTGACTAGATGTTTTCTCACGCCTTTTAATTCACACTGATTTCCTCTGGCATTTCCAGTAATTGCCCTCTTCAGCATGCTGACTCTCCCTGCAGTGAACTGGCACCGTACACACGTGCTCGCCACCGGCGTCTCACATTAGCTCTCTACAGCTCATGGCTGGCCTTTGAGTCTAATGATTAATTTACTCTCCCACTTAACCTCACTTGCCTATATTTACAATCACCCAGAGACTGTAACTTCATTTTCCAGCCTTTGGAATTCAAATCAAGTCCAGTCTCGCGGACGTGCCTAAACTCGTCCAAGCCCGTGTGCAATGAACCCGCTGTGAACCGCTGCAGTCATTTCCGACCCCTTGTGAAACCAGGCTAAGCTGTCGACAGAAATGAGCAATCGTAATGAGAGAAGAAGAGACGTTGGAGAAGGTGGATTTGTTGTGATTGGAGCTGTCTGACCTGCACAACCTTCTGTTATCTAAGACACATTTATGATGCGAGTCATTCTTCAGGTTGAAATTTGTCCCAGCTCTCTTAGCTGCCAAAAGACCCATTCTTAACAAGTATTTTTATCTACTTTTCCAGTAAAAATATCTACAAATCCTTCAAATAGATACACTGACATGAGAAGCAACACAGAATAAGACTGTATTTTGTGTGTATGAGTGTATTTTGTCTTACTGCAACTGTCAGATACTGTATTTTAAGTTAAAAACAACTGTAAAAAAACTATGAAAATAAGTCCTAATATTCTAAGCAATGTTGTTTCTCAAGTAAATTTATCTTGACTTATGGCATTTTAGATGTTTTTACTGGAAAACAAGAAAAAAAAATTTTAAACAACAAAATATCAATGTTTCTGGTCAACATTCTAGTCATTATGTGTATTTTAGGTGGAGGATTCTTTAGCATGTGTCTGTTAGCAATGTCATATTTGTGTTCATGTGCCATTTGTCTTGTTTCTTCCAACATTTCTCAGAGCAGAGCCAGTTAGCCGCCAAGTCTGGACAGTGCAAATGGTCTGAACATTTGTTTTTTGTGGCAGAGGTTAGACAGCAGCCACATCTTATCTAAATATGGACGTGGAGATTTATGGAATAGCATGTCGGTGTGGAAAATGTCCATCTGACAAGGGCTTGAATTATATAAATTGCTTGGATTTGTATTGGGATGTCAACATGAAATTAAAATTGACCCTATTCATTTTTATAATGCACAATCCTAGACTTACTGGGACAATTTGCTGTACCTTATTTTTATTTTTTTAAAGTCAATACAAGTATAATCTTTCATTTAAAAAAAAAGACGTTCTTTTTACTATTACTCAGGGGTCTAACGAGGACGTACATCGTGAGCTTAAGTGGTGAATAAAATCAATTAAAATAGCACATTGGGGAGGCTTAATTGGAATAAAATAAAATAAAATAAAATAAATAAAAATTAAATAATTTAAAATTAAATTAAATAAAATTAAATAAAAATTATATAATTTAAAATTAAATTACATTTAATTTAATTTTAAATTACATTTTAAAAAGTAAAAACTTTTTATTTACAGTTTCAGAAGAGAGGTTTCTTTACTTTGCAGGGTTCTTTTTTGCAGTTCATACAGCTTTTCACATTGACTTTTAAGTAATTTCTGTAATAAAAACGGGAGGAATCCAAAGGCCAGCTCTGCATTGACCATTGTCATTTTCATCTTTTATCTAATGACAGGAAACTAATTGCATCCATTCTTGGATGATTTGGTCGGAAATTCCTCAGTGATTCTGGCGAGGGAAGTTGTTACACGTCTCTAAACAGATCTGGAGCATTTTTTTAGCCTTAATCGCAGTTTAATCAAGGGAGCTTCAGGGTGTCAAAGCTGTCCTCCCAAATCAGACGCAATCTATCAAACAAAAAACCCGTCCTGCTGCTTTTTTTTCTTTTCTTTTTTCCTTGATGATCTCAAAGAGAAGATGATCCCTGCAAGACATCCTGTCGTTTCTACAAACCACACAGCTAAATGCTCAAGTGTTTCTGAACGCCAGTGAACACTGATCTGCAAAGCAAACTCGGAGCTCCAAAAAAACAAGCACCCCTTCGCACCTCTGGAATTTCCTGTGGGTGCAAAAAAGTGGCACAGCAGTAGGTAGCACACACACACACACATTACCAATATACACAATAATAGCTGCCATATGGAGCTCAGAGATGATGGAGAGGAGTAATCAGCGGCTCTGTTCCAAAACCTAGTGAGCTGCCTACATAGGCTGCATTTTAAGGCACCTCTTAAACATAATTGTTCCAAAAGTGTTTTTTTTTTTCAGTGATGCCATAGAAGAACCATATGGGGTTCTCTAAAGAACCTTTCGGTGAACAGTTCTTGAAAGAATCTTTTTCCACTCTCAAAACACCCTTCAAAATGGGACTATCATACAGGAAAGGTTGAGGGGCTTCATTTTAGGGAGGGTATTCTAGAACAAGGAACGAGTTGGCCAAGCCAAACATGTCCTGGGACAGCATGCAGTTGTTTTTTTTAGATTCCAGAGTTAGCCAATACCCTTCCTCTACCAGAGGGGCTTGTCCACTATCAAGGAAAAAAATGTCCTCTGTGATAAGATTTGTTTGGTTTCCAGACTGAAATGTGATGGTGGATTTGACAAAAGGAGCCTAACCTGTACAAGCAGACACAACCATTTAGGGAAGTTCTGAAGGCTCACAACCTTGTTCTCAGTCTCTCACAAAACAATTTCAGTGTTACAGACATTCATTTATATGCAAAACCTGTTAAAAAGAAACTTTTTCGAGTGTCTAATATAACAAATCAAGCATGCTTTGTTTCTTACCTTAACCTCACATTTCCTGTGGCAGGCTAACCGGCAAACTGCAGAGACAAAGAAAAAAAAAACAAGCCATTATTTTTACACATAATTTATCAATTCAATTGTGCATTTTAGAAACTTTGTTTACTATTACTTAGGGGTGTAATTAGGATTGAAGTAAATTGTGGGCTTTCTTCAGCAAAACAAAACAAAATAAAATACTTCAAATATTATAATTATTGTAATTACATTACTGAGAGGCCTAACTAGGATGTAAGTATTAAACACATTGTGGGATTGGACAAAACAAACCAAAACAAAAAACAAACATTCACTTCAGAAGAGATGTTTTCTTTTAACATGTTCTTTCTCATCTTTTTGCACTGCAAAACTGGTTTACTCTGTTCTCTCTGTCAAATAACATTTGTCATCAGAAACTTGACATTACCCAGCACCATTCACATCAGACTCTCACATCCCACCTTTCTGTTCGCCAAAGTGGTTGAGCTCAGGCAGGGCCGCAACTACCATAGACACTGAGAAGGACACGTTCCCCACAAGATCATTCAGGTTAGTGGTTGATCATTATGGGTTTTCAATGAACATTGTCTGTGATTCATGTGGAAAAAGCCTTCAGACGTTTATGACTGATGTAAAGCTGCCTGACACAACAAACGTTGTTTGCCAAAACCAGTTTTTCTCTCTGTTTATATTAGGGCTGCACGATTGTGACAAAAATCATAATTGTCGATTATTCCCTTGAAATTGTAATTGCAATTATTAATTACGATTATCACAATTTACATTGAATGATGTTTATACCATTTTTTTATGCAACTGCATGCCGTATTTTTATATGAAAATAATCAAGCTGAAAACACTCTAACTGAAAAACTTTTAGTGCTTTTCTATAGTATTAAGCCTCAAATGTCAACTAAACATCGGATTGGTTTCTTCTTAAAATTATAGTAAAAATATGAATGGTATTATAATGTTATACTAAAACTAAAATTAAAATAATGGGAAAAACCTTTAAGATAATATGTAGAAAGAAAAAAAACGCATCTTAAGCGTGCAGAATAAAATACGTGGACTTTGAACGATTAATTGCCGCTTTAAAAGATTACGTAATTGTGGCATCCATAATTGTAATCGCGATTAATTGTGCAGCCCTGGTTTATATTATCATTTCTGGACAGAGTCATAGACCACCAGTGAAGAAAACTGGATGAGACTTCTACTGAGCTATTCTTCAGCAAATATTTGCAATAAACAGTGTAGTACATTCACAACTGTTAATATTGTGGTCTTGTATTGTCAGATCTTATGATAATTCACTGTTATGTAAACTTTAGCTTGCTAAATTCACACTGTGACAATTTATCAGACAAAATACTTACAAAAGCTCTATTTTTATGGGATTTGTTTTTTCCTCAGAAGGTTAGAAAAATGTTGTTTTGCAGATTTACATATTTTCAGTCAAGTCCAAACCAGTTTTTACTACCCAATTTTGGTAAATTACAGAACATCTACCATCTTCATTATTTGGATCTTGATGGTTTGAGGACTAGCTGCTGGCATATAACCTGAATTTTATAAATGAATGAATGAATGAATGAATGAATGAAAAGTATAACAAATAAATAAAATAAAATGTAATAAATAATAATTAAAAAGCATAAATAAAATGTATTTATGTAAATATAATTTATCTTTCTAGAATTTTCTTTCTAGTAAAATAAGTGTAAAATTATAAAATGAATGAATTGCATGGCAAATTACCCACATCCAGACAATTTGCATTTCCATTTTAGCAATATATTCCAAATCAATCAGTATTATTCAATGAAATCAAATCTGTACTCAATTATTTGTTACTCAAATGTCATTTAGAAAACTGATCCAGTTGAAATAGTCTTACAGATTCACAGAGTATCTGTGGGGCCCAGAGAACATAAAGAACCTCCTATCCGAGCCCATTCCAATCCACCTCATACAGGTACAGCACCCAAACGCTCCTGCGCTTCTTACACAGAGCCCACTCTGTTCCCCGTGTCTGACCTGCCATTCCACAGAGAGGGGCGGAGCCTAAACAACAGAGGGTCTACACACAACCAGGGTTTTTTTAGTCACTAAGGTGAAGAAATGTCTCCAAAGCCACACCTAATGTCTCTCAAACTCCTCTAATGGCAGAGAGAGACAACTACAACTTTTTTATGTCTTTGTGTCTCTTTTTTAAAACCTAGTGAGCTATGAGTTTATATCTCACAATTCTGTGTTTGTCTCTCGCAGTTCTGATTTTTTTTCTCAGAATTGCAAGAAAAATGTCTGAAATAGAAGATATAAACTCAGACTTACGAGAAAAAAAAAAAAAGAGAAGCAGTAAGTTGTTAGACATTTATTTTTTAACAACATATCTTGTAAAAATAATGTTTATTTTTCTTACTTTTTATTTTTTAATCTAACTTTTTTATCGAAACATAGTGAGGTTTAAAGAGTTTATTTATGATGTTAAAACAGAATTAAAATCCTTCAAATATTAAAATCTCAACTGCAAAACAATTAAAATCATCGGTATTGATGCATACTCATATACTGTATCAATACTGTCTTACACAATTTTGCAACTCAAACTAATTTTTCTTGTTCTAAAGATAAAGAAACATTAAGATTAAGAACATGTTTTTGCATTTCATAAGTGAACGATTTAGGATATTCTAGCAACAAAAATGTTATCTTAATCAACATTTTTGTGTTATTTAACATTATTAATATTTGAGCAGCAAAACCGTATAAGACATCAAACAGTACAATCTTGCAGTAAGGGCTAGGGTTAGGTTAGTAAGACCGTACTCTGGGAACGTGCCTATACGTCCTTGAAATGCTCCCTATGTAGGCAGCTCACTATGTTTTAGAATAGAACCCATCTTCCTCCTCGGCCCTCTATTACCCTCTTTTGAAATCCAGGTCACAGCATGAAAACACCGGACTGGAGGCTCCTACTACTCACAAATTCCCTCAATCCCAGATGAAACCTTTAAGAGTGTGAATCTAAAGTGCTTTGGGAACATCCAGAATTTCAAAGAGTTTAAAAATATGTTCTTATTCTGGAGCAGACTGTACCTTATGCAATATTGCCTTTTTTCTGTCTTGGCTCACATTTTTCTGTGCATACATTATATTTGCAGTGTTTATTTTCTTAACTCATTGGTTTAGTCTTTGAGAAAAGTAGTGAATGTCTCAACAGGGTAAAATTGACCATGGGAGCCTTTCAGGAGTCATAGAAAAAAAAACAAAATAAAAATGTATTTTGGCTTCAGGTCCACATAGTTATTGGCTTTTTCATTTCAGCATATTTTCGTTAGCATGTGATCCTCCTGTTTGGGAGTGTGTCGGATGTGAGACAGTTGATGAGTGTTTCATTCTGGTGTGGCTTAGTGGTTGAAAATCTGGACTAGTTATGCAAAAGGGCTGCAGGTTATTCAAAGTGACTCACAAGGTGTGCATTCATCACTTTGTCAGGTTGTGTGTTCCCTGGGAATCAAACCCACGACCTTGGCATTGCTAGCGCCATGCTCTAATAGTTACAGAGCTACAGGAACATCTACCCCAGAAAAAGGTGATTCATGAGCTGCCATCATTGAGAGCAAAGCACTTAACCCCAGATTGCACCAGAGGACTGTACCTGTAAAACAAAGTAAAAAAGCAAAAAGAGGCCATGCTTTACAGTGATTCTGCATGTGTAAGAGGTGTTCATCTGTAATGTCACCAATGGTGAATAAGTAAAATGCATTTATAATTAAATAAATCAGCATAAAAACCAAAACATACATTTGAGAGAAATGGGCACTGAGATGTTCTAAAGCATTCAGATATCTTTAGCTGCATCATAATTGTGTTTTGAAGGCTCAGTCCCATCTTCTAACTGACTATCTGATGCATACTGCGCACAAAAATGACAAGAGCCACCAGAAATCACTAGCTCCAATCTGAGTGGCAGCTGGTACATATCTTATGGGAGTCAGAAAGTCCATCAGAGTCCACCTAGAGAAGGACAATTCATGTTTATCAAGGTACCAAGTTGATGAAATGAGCAGCAGTGAAGAAAATTAAAAATGACTGGATTTGACAACATTTACCACGTTAGTTGTATTAATTCTTCAAAATGTGGTTAAGAAGATAGAGTTTTATTTGAGATACTTAGTAGCCAGTAAACTATATATTGTGAAACAATTGGTATGGGATTTTCTTTGAAACAATTTTCATGCAAAACAATTGCTAGTAATTTCACAAATAATTAAAAACGTCAAGTGTAACAATAAGCTAAAGGTGAAATTTTGAAGTAGAAAGACTAGAATAGTATTTTCTTGTACTTACCTCAATAATCTTTTACAATTTCAAAAAACGAATTACAATGTACACAAGCAGTACAATTTATATTATTCTTTGAGTGTCTATAAAATACTATACTTAATACTTCTAAACCAAAACACTGTAAAAAAAAAAAATAAATAAATAAAAAATTAACTATATAAAACAAAGATTATTGGAGCAAGTTTTTCTACTTCAAAATTCTACATTCATTTTCTTTGTAATTATTTGATCACACAGATACAGATTTTACAGCGATTTATGGTTAAAAACGGTTTCAGTCATTTTTCAGTGCATTTCTGCTAGTTCCTTCACAGTCGTGCAATTGTTTTAAAGGGGTCATATGATGCGATTTCAATTTTTCCTTTCTCTTTGGAGTGTTACAAGCTCTTGGTGCATAAAGAAGATCTGTAAAGTTGCAAAGACTAAAGTCTCAAATCCAAAGAGATATTCTTTATAAAATTTAAGAGTCAACCACGCCTACCTAAAATGGCTCGTTCTAACACGCCCCCACATATCTATGTCACGATGTGGGAAGATTTGCATAACGCCACCCAAATGTGCACGCAAAGAAAGAAGGCGTAACTTTTATTCTCGCTGTAGTATTGTTGTTGGCGCCGCCGCCATGTCGTGAAGGAGCTGCGTGTTTCGTTGTGAAAGCGAAACTACTTTGTTTGGCCTTCCAAAAGAG